AACATTATACTGAACAAATTTTACATACTGTAAATTAATTTCAATCGAAAACATTGCATGAACACATCTTTGGATTTGGAATTAAAAGATATCTGCCTATTCTTCTTCGTTTAAACTATATGACTATAAATTTTCAGTAAAAAACAGTTATAGTGAAATGCGTATACTCAGTAATTAATTCATGCTTATATATACAGTGAATTTATTTAATTTTAGTACTGATGCTTTTAAAGCATATTGTTATCTTAAAAAATATATTTAAGGAATAACTGTCTTATTTTTCGATTCATGATGTGATCAATTGATTGGTTTGCATGATAATTTGCATAAACACCGAAGGAGTTTATGCATAAAATTATCATCCAAGCCAATCAATTGATCATCATCATGAAATTGAAAAATAAGACAGTTAGTTATTCATGTATATATACATGCGCTTAATTCTGCCAATCCATGTGCTCTAAGCCCCACATCTGTCTCTACATATGTCCTGATTTTTCTTAACCGTCTCTATCTATGAACCAGTATAAAGTATAAAGAAATAAAGTACATTATCTATTTGTAATTTTATCTCGGACAAAACATTGGAAATGTAAATATTTAAGGAATGAATTTAAGATACTCTGATCCTGAGGTTCAGAAAATCAGACACTGACTGAAGCCAAAAGAAAATATGCTCTTGTTTTCTGTCCCCTGACCAAAGAAAATAGGGTAGGTAGGTAGGGAAAAATTTTATTTTGAGAAAAAAATTTATTTTCAAATGTCAATGAATGCAGAACATATAGCATGTAATAACAAGAAAACAGTATGTTAACAGTTTACAAAGCAAGTTTGTTAATAAAGATTTATAAAGTAAAGTTATCCTGTAGACACTTGTCATGTATTACATCTGTAAACATTGTTCATCTACTTGAGTATTAGGAAAATAGCCCTCTAAATAAGAGGCCCATGAGCCACATCGATCACCTGACTTAATTTGGTGATGCAGTTTACATCTAGGTTAAGTTACAGCAAGGAAATTTAAGCATGAAGTTTCCTGGTATTTATTTCACATAAAACATTTTAATTATCAAATCCCACACTCTTCACTAGAACTTGAAGGTTGACATCCACACGTCAAAAAATATTCAATGGATGTTCCTTTCATTTATATAAAAGATACTGTAAGCCTTAATACTCTTTTCATGATTTTATTGACAATTGTTAAATCTACCAAAGACCATAAAATAATACAGAGTGATGCAATGTAAATGTAATTATTTACAGAGTCAATAAAATCATGATGTAATGTAAATGTAATGATTTAGTGACCCATAAAATCACAAACTGCTCAAGGGATGTCTTTACTGTCTGTAGTTTAACTTTTGGGGTCATGTCTCCTTCGTGTATGTTGTCTGCATTCAAAGTCTAGAAAAATTGCTCAATATTCCGATAGCTTCAGGTTTGGCTAGGTTTAATGATGGAATTTCTGTAAAAATAAACAATGTAAAAGACTCAACGACAGTTCTCACTTAAGATTTTTAGTACAAAGGATTATTCAACAGCTTCATTAAGGTATGGCTACTCAAGATAAAAGGTACATGTGCCACATTCAAACATATTCATGAAACATTGTCTACTTAGATTGAGGGCAAATCTTGGTTAAAAAAAAAACAATAAAGGGCTACAACAATCTTTAACATTACCAGCTATCTAATACAGCATTAATCTTCATATAAAACTTGTTGGAAACTAGTTAACCCTGATATCTTTTTTTAAAAATTGATAAAGAAGTAAATCATTCCTCTTGAAATTATAATATAGCTGTATTTATTTCAGCTGTGGATTTTAAAATCTCATTTTTTGTGTAATTTCTCTATAATTCATAATATGTACTTACATATAATTGAAAAAAAAAAACAACAGAGTATAACTCTTCTTTGCTAAGAGTAAAGATACACAGTCATGTATATGTACTTACGATGAGAAACCTTTGGAGCAAGACAGGACGATGTAAGGTGATTTCTCTGTTCTCTGCTTATCCTTAAGCATGTTCAGCATACCTAGGGGCGTGTCTGTGGAACTCATCTGCTTCATCAACTGTAACCCAGATAAAAAAAATATAAGTAGGGCTGAGATTCTGTATCTTGAATTTTGTTATACATGTATGTATTTTGACTATCAGGGATTTGCCAAAGAAGAGACTTTTTTCTAATTTTTCTTCTAAAAAATGTCTTCCTTTTAATTTTTTTGGTCAATTTAAGCTAGATGAACAGATCTCTCAAAGTTCTTCGAAACACACTATTCATATTCAAGATAATGAAGTTTAAAAATACAGTAAAACTTGTTTAATACGAACACGGATATTGGGAATTCATAGATATAGTGAAGTATTTTTAGACCCCCCCCCCACTATGAAAATTTTACGAATTTCTTATAAGGATAAAGGAATTGTGGATATAGCGAAGTAATTTCACAGGTCCTAGTGACTTTGTTATAACCGAGTTTTACTGTATTAGTCATTACTGCAAAAAGTTTTTTCAAAGTGGAGGATATATGTGTTTAGTACGTATCATGCTTCTGGTAAGCATATGCAAGAAAAAATTATATGCAATACGTACATGTACTATGTAAATATATGAATACCACCTAAATATAAAAATTCCCACAACCACATGCAGTTACCTGTTCCTCCTGCAGTTTTTTAGTTCGTTTTTCTGTCTTCTTTTTGCCGGAACCTTTCCCTTGGAACCTGTGGGACAACTGCCTGAAGGCCTCCTTCTGATTCAGCAGGTGCCCCCCGTCGTCCACGTATTCCAGTTTGACGTCCGGTTTATATCCCTCTTTCTCATTGAAGTCCTGTATCAGCCCTCCCCCTCCACTGTATCTGTCCCTCTTCCTGCTGTACTTCTCATCCAAATTACTGGAAAAAGTAGTAGATCTAAAGATCAGTGGGGGGTTCAGGGAGGGGAATTTTAAACTTACCCGGTACATTTTTCAGGACTACATTGTACTTCTTATCTTCATTTCATCAACTTATATGACATTTTTCATTTTCCAAAGAATTATTTTTTGAAATGGTCACTATTCTTCACAAATGGAAATACATACTATTATTATATGTCTAGTTCTTCAAAACAAATCTTCACAGGTATATAATTCATCCTAGGCTATCCTTAAAAGTCAGCCATAATCCAAAGTCTCCTCTATTAGTTGATTTACATGGACAGAACAAGTTAATTTTTTTCTTACAATAAAACCATTTACAGAAAACATGATACATGTACAGGTAGTTTCTTCAAGAATTATTTTTATATGTATATAGGTTTTACAGTATTTGTCTAATAAACTTACTCGTATCGTTTGTCCTCTATAGAGTAATTCTGAACCTCTAGGTCAAGCTTAGCTTTGCTCCTTACTATGGCATTTTTTTCCCTTCATCTTCTATGTATCCTGTAAAACAAACAGCCCTGTTTTACAAGATTTTATTCCCCAAGAATGTTTGCACTTATAGTCCAAATAGCTACAAGTATTCCAAAGATTTTTCAATCAATATTCATTTGAAAAGCAATAATTCTACAAACCTTTCTTAACGGCTAGCTCTAGAGCTGCTCCTACCCCAGAACTCACCACTGGTTTTTCTTCTAACACTGCTTGTTCCTCCCCCTATAGATACAAGATATTTTAGAGACACTCAAAACTATTATTTCTTTGGTATGGGAATTTTAGTTGGAAATCACATACACAATTTACAAGGGAAATTGGCCCCTTATTTATAATAAAACTTGTTTAGTACACACAGGGATAAAGTGAACTTATAGATAAAGTTTTTAGCATCTCTTAAAACAAGAGGCCCATGGGCCACAATGCTCACCAGAGTAACTTCGACGTGCTGTTCTTCACCTGATTTCCCCCCTGTAATAGCTATTGTGACCCCGCCTTATCCTAGGGGTCAAGATTTGAACAATTTAGAATATACACTACCCCAGGATGCTTCCATATAGCAGATTTTAAACATCCCTCTCAAGAGTTTTTCATTCATATGGAAATGCCACCACTTGCCAATGGAGAGCTACAAATTTTTATCCTATGCACAACACTTAGGGACATTGAGCAGTGAGGGAATGTGCCAGCACCTACTGCAACACAGGACCCCGGTTTATTCGGTCTCATCGGAAGGACCGGTCTCAACGTTCCACAGTGGGATTCGTACCTGTGAGGTAGGGATGACACCTTACTTTGCGAATCTAAAGCAGACGCACTAAGCACTGTGCCACACAGGCGACGAGGTTCTTTAGATGAAGAGATTTAAAGATTTTTTCTACATATTTCAATGTAAAACTCAGGGATTCCCCATAGTGATTATAACCGCATCCTACCCCCCATGGTTCATAATTTGAACAATTTAAAATCTACACTTCCCCAGGATGCTTTCACCTAAGTTTCAGTTTTTCTGGCACAGTGGTTCTTGAGGAGAATTTTTTATGACCCCCCTATTTTTGTCTTGTTTTGACAAGATTTGATTATCCCGAGTTTTAACAAAAACATAACTTTATGTCAACATTATAGTGGCACCTTGAGACCATATCCTTTGTCCCCAGGGAGATGCCTTGAAAAAATTTTATATTCTCATCCTTGTATATAAGTTTGCTGATAACCTTTCCAGTGGTTCTTGAGAAGATTTTTTTTAGCAACCAGTACATATTTGGCTCATAAGAGCTAACAAATACACTTACCCCGGTAATTATATATCTTTGATATAAAAAAAATTTGGATATACATGTCATTTTGTAAAATAAAAAGTTTACTTTACAACATTTTTTCCCTGTAATAACATACTATATTTGACACTATTATTCATTTGGTACTAAAGTAGTTGTACTTAGGACAATTAAATCTATATTTATCTCCAACCAGGAAGTAAATTACAAATCTCGTCTAAGTCTCGACTAAAATCTCCTTCCTATATTCCAAAGTTTGCTGAACAGAAATATACATTTAGAGGCCCATTGTGTCAAAAGTAAGTACCTGGGATGCCAGCAGACTTGAAATTCAAATTTTTCTGAAAAAAAAAGCATTTTGCTTACTCAGATCCTATTTGTCTAAGATAATCTCAGATCTGATACAGCAGAATACTTTACAAACTTTACACCTTCCTTTTAAGTCTGACTGGTGTCAGACATCTAAATTATATGTATATTGTTTTCTGAATTTGATTTAAGTTTAACTTTAACAATTAAAGTCAATATGTAAAACTGTTAAAATTTTGAAATCCATATGCATGTAACAATTAAACTTCTCAATGTTAATTTTAGATGGCACTTTCCAAACAGAAAATTCCCGGCACTGCCCAACACTTCCTGGAGTGTGGTACTGAATATTGTGAGAGAAATTGTGAATTCTACTGCAATTCCTGCCATCATCAGATGTGTAAACCATGCAGAGACAAACATCTTAAGATTCCAGAAAACAAAAACCATGAAGTGGTCCTTTATCAGCAACGGAGACGACAACTCCCTGTGAAGAAATGCAAGATCCACCCCACCAAAGAAATAGATATTTTCTGCAAAGAATGCAATATTCCTTTATGTTCCAAGTGTTCAACAATGCAAGATCATCTTGGGCATCAATTTATTGATTTAGAAATTATATACACAGAGAAATTTGAAATTTGCCGTAAGGAACTCTCTAAAATTCATAATTATTTTATACCTACATCAGAGGATTTACAGAAAGAAGTTCGGGAAGATGCCACAGAAGTTAGACAGATCATGGACAGCATACGGACATCCATGAAGGCTGAAGCTGAATCTCTCAAAAACATGGTGGATACAGTACTCCCAGAAAATATGGAAGAATTAAACCAAATAGAGAAGTCATTACTGGAGAAATTAAAGAGCCAAGAAAAGACATTTGATGATTATATTGCCTATCTCAGTGACCTTGTTAAAGAGTTCCAGAGTTACCTGTCCTCTACTGAGCTCTCCAACTTCGCAACTAAACTCCCTGAGAACTTGAAAATAAAATCCATACCAGAGACCACAAAACCTGTCACACCAGAATTTTCTCCTGCTCAATACAGCAAAGCAGATGTTGATAAATTACTGGGGAAGATAACTAAACACGATAAAGATCTGAAATCAGACAAGAAACAAACAATGTCTCTATCTGCCTCTGTCACCAAGGTCAGGAAGTTCAAAGTACCAGGTGTTAATCATGTATACCATGTATCACTAGATCAATCAGACAGACTCTGGATCAGTGATAGTGATGGTAATCTTGTCCAAACAGATCTACAGGGGAATGTGATACAGAAGATAGAAACCAGTGGTAGACGTGAAGGTTACCACACAGTCACACAGGACAGGGATCTGATCTTTACAGACAAAGGCAAGAAAGTCATCAATAGGATAACACAGGATAATAATTTCATTGAATTCATTAATACAGGAGAATGGGCACCAATCAGCATACACTCGTCCCACATCAACGGTGACTTACTGGTCGGGATGAAGAAGGACAGACAGGGTAAAGTCACCAGGTACAACAAGACAGGGAAAGAACTACAGAACATACAGAGGGATAACAAAGGACAGGAACTATATAATTATCTACGCTACATCACAGAAAACATCAATGGAGATATCTGTACATCAGACTGTAATAAAAAGGCAGTAGTGGTGGTGAATAAATCAGGACAACACAGGTTCTCCTACAAAGGCCAAGAGTCAGGGTTCTATCCCTATGGAATCGGTACTGATGTCCTCGGTCAGATCCTGGTGTGTGATAATTCCAGTATCACTGTTCACCTCCTTGATCAGAACGGTCAGTTCTTGTCTCTATTACTCACACCACAACAAGGGGTAGAGTATCCCCGTAGTGTGTGTGTGGATGGTAAGAACAATCTCTATGTGGGACAAAATTTCACCAACACACTGACATTGTTCAAGTGTTTTAAGTGATTATAATTCTATCACATGTACATAATTGAAAAACTTAAATCTGTGATTTTCAGTACAGAAATGTAAATCCTAAATAGAGTTCAACATTATACTGAACAAATGTACATACTGCAAATTAATTTCTATGGAAAGCATTGCATAAATTCTTCTTAATTCTGCATATCCACATGCTCTAAGCCCATGCAGCGCCTGTCTGTACATTTTCCCGCCCCACTCTTGTTTTTTTTAAACAATGTCTCTCAATGAACCAGTGCATTCATGAAGAAATAAAGTACATTAACTATTTGTAATTTTATCTCGGACAAAGACATTGAAAAATGTAACTAAAGCCAAAAGAAGATATACTCTTGTTTTCTGTCCACTGACCAAAGAAAATAGGGTAGGTAGGTAGGGAAAAATGTTATTTTGAGAAAAAAAAATTATTTTCAAAACTCAATGAATGCAGAACATTATAGCATGTAATAACAAGAAAACAGTATGTTAACAGTTTACAAAGCAAGCTTGTTAATAAACATGATAAAGATTTATAAAGTAAAATTATCCTGTATACTTGTGATGTGTTAGTTCTGTAAATATTGTTGGTCGACTTGAGTATAAGGAAAATAGTCCTCTAAACAAGAGGTCTATGAGGAAATTTAAGCACGAAGTTTCCTGGTATTTATTTCACATGAAACATTTTAAGGACATTGGCAAGGTTCCTGGCTTTTGTTTGGATTTTTTCAAGAACTCTTGAACAGGTGTAATGATAATAAACATGTTATATCCTGGCACATTTAACCCACCAAGCCATCCTTCCTTATTAGATTTTGTCAAATCAATTTTTTTTTTTTTTACAATTCTCAATGCATTTCCTATGTAAAATGTTGATATAAAGGACCTACTTAATTTTTTACCATAAAAATTTTCCAAAATCCAGTCATTTCAGAAAGTGTACATATTATATACATTATTGTATCCTCATTTCAAATCATATCTACATATCATGACTGAAAACACAAATTTAGAAACATGATACAGATCTACCAACACTGTTTATTATTTTAGAGTTACTTTCCTTAGAATCTCATTCGTGTTCATAATGGTAAAGACTGTTTCACTGTTTATGTTAAGTAATTTACCATATTGGAAACAAATTTTCATAAGTTTGTTTCTGAGTTTCATCCACACGTCAAAAAATATTCAATGGATGTTTCTTTCATTTATATAAAAAGATAATGTAAGCGTTAATACTGTTTTTATCGACTTGAGTATTAGGAAAATAGCCCTCTAAGCAAGAGGTCTATGAGCCACATCGCTCACCTGACTTACTTTGGTGATGCAGTTTACATCTAGGTTAAGTTACTGCAAGGAAATTTAAGAAAGAAGTTTCATGGTATTTATTTCATATAAAACATTTTAATTATCAAATCCCACACTCTTCACTAGAAATTGAAGGTTGGCATCCACACGTCAAAAAATATTCAATGGATGTTTCTTTCATTTATATAAAAAGATACTGTAAGCCTTAATACTGTTTTCATGATTTTATTGACAATTGTTGAATCTACCAAAGACCATAAAATATTACCGAATGATGCAATGTAAATGTTATTATTTACAGAGTCAATAAAATCATGATGTAATGTAGATGTAATGATTTAGTGACCCATAAAATCACAAACTGCTCAAGGGATGTCTATACTGTCTGTAGTTAAACTTTTGGGGTCATGTCTCCTTCGTGTATGTTGTCTGCATTCAAAGTCTAGAAAAATTGCTTAATATTCCAATAGAATAATGTTTGGCTAGGTTTAATGATGGAATTTCTGTAAAAATAAACAATGTAAAACACTCAATGACAGTTCTTATTTAAGATTTTTAGTACATAGGATTATTTAACACCTCCATTAAGGTATTGCTACTCAAGATAAAAGGTGCATGTGCCACATTCAAACATATTCATGAAACATTGTCTACTTAGATTGAGGGTAAATCTTGGTTGAAACAAACAATAAAGGGCAAACAACAATCTTTTATTATACATTATCTAAAACAGCATTAATCTTCATATAAAACTTGTTTGAAACTAGTTAACCCTGATATCTTTTTTTAAAAATTGATAAAGAAGTAAATCATTCCTTCTTCAAATTATTATTAGCTGTATTTATTTCAAGTGTGGATTTAAATTCTCGTTTTTTTGTGTAATGTCTCTATAAGTCATAATATGTACTTCTATTATAATTGAAAAAACAACAGAGTATAACTTTTCTTTGCAAAGAGTAAAGATCCACAGCCATGTATATGTACTTACGATGAGAAACCTTTGGAGCCAGACAGGACAATGTAAGGTGACTTCTCTGTTCTCTGCTTATCTTTAAGCATGTTCAGTGTACCAAGAGGCGTGTCTGTGGAACTCATCTGCTTCATCAACTGTAATCCCAGATGAAAAGAAAATAGATGTACAGCTAAAATTCAGTATCTGAAATATTGTTTTGTTTTTTGAATACCAGGATTGGCTGAAGTGTCCTACTTGAACTGACTAATTTTGGGTCTATACTTAAGAACTCGGATAAACAGATCTCTCAAAGTCAATTCATATTCAAGATAATGAAGTTTGAAAGTACAGTAAAACTTGTTTGGTATGAACACAATTATTCTAAATTCACAGATATAGCAAAGTCTTTTTGGACTCCCCACTAAAAAAATTTTACAAATTCCTTATACGTATATAACGAATTACGGATATGGTGAAGTAATTCAATAGGTCGTTATAAACAAGTTTTACTGTACATGTATAAATCCTTTTTGCAAAAGTTTTTTTTTTCCAAATTGGAGGATACATGTACAGTGTATATCTATTTAGTAAGTATCATGCTTCTGGTGAGCATATGCAAGTAAAAATTTACTGTATATGCAACATGTACTACGTACATATATATGTATAACACCAATTTTAAAAACTTCCACAACCACATGCAGTTACCTGTTCCTCCTGCAGTTTTTCGTTCGTTTTTCCGTTTTCTTTTTACCAGAGCCTTTCCCGTGGAATCTGTGAGACAGCTGCCTGAAGGCCTCTTTCTGATTCAGCAGGTGACCTCCATCATCCACGTATTCCAGTTTGACGTCCGGTTTATATCCCTCTTTCTCCTTGAAGTCCTGAATCAGCCCTCCCCCTCCACTGTATCTGTCCCTCTTCCTGCTGTACTTCTCATCCAAATCACTGGAAAAAAGAAGTAGATCTAGAGATCGGGGGGGGGTCAGGGAGGAATATCTTATAAAATTTACTTTCAGGGCTTCTTCTTATCTTCCTTTTTTTCAACTTATATGACATTTTTCATTTTCCAAAGAATGTTTTTTTTGAAATGGTGACTATTCTTCACAAATTAAAATACATATACGTGTAGTTCTTAATGACAAATCTTCACAGGTACAAAATTTATCTTTGGCTATCCTTAAAAGTCACCCATGAATCAAAGTTTCCTCTATTAGTTGATTTACATGGACAGAACATGTTAATTTTTTTTCTTACAATTTTAATCCACTTACAAAAGGCATGATACATGTAGAGGTAGTTTCTTCAAGAATTACTTTTATTAAATGCATATAGGGTTTACAGTATAATTCTACCGGTAATAAACTTACTCATATCGTTTGTCTTCTATAGAGTAATTCTGAACCTCCAGGTCAAGCTTAGCTTTGCTCCTCACAATGGCATTTTTCTTCCCTTCATCTTCTATTTAGCCTGTAAAACATACAGCCCTGTTTTACAAGATTTTTTTCAGCGAGTTCTAGAGCTGCTCCTACCCCTGAACTCACCACCGGTTCTTCTTCTAACACTGCTTGTTCCTCTCCCTATAGATACAAGAAATTTTAGAGAAACTCAAAACTATTATTTCTTTGGTATGGGAATTCTAGTTGGAAATCACATACACCCTGTACAAGGGAAACTGGCCCCTCATATATAAAAAAAAACTTCAGTACACACAGAGATAAATTTTTAGTATCTCTTAAAACAAGAGGCCCATGGGCCACAATGCTCAACTGAGTAACTTTGACCTGCTGTTCTTCACCTGATGCCCCCCTTGTAATAGCTATTGTGACCCCCGCCGTACCCCAAGGGCTCAGGATTTAAAGAATTTTGAATTTATACTACCCCAGGATGCTCCCACATATTCATTAGTTTCAGATTTTCTGGTCCAGTGGTGTTTGAGGTGATTCATTGATTGTATGCTGTTTTAAACATCCCTCTCAGAATTTTTCATTCATATGGAAATGCCACCACTTGGCACTTGCCCGTGGAGAGCTGCAAATTTTGTCCTCTACTCGGCACTCAGGGCCATTGAGTAGTGAATGACGTTCCAGCACCTACTGCAACACGGACCCCGATTTATACGGTCTCATCCGAAGGACCGGTCTCTAAATCCCACAGTGAGATTCGTACCTGCGAGGTAGGGATGACTCCATACTTTGGGACTCTAAATCAGACGCTAAATAACCACTGCTCCACGAGGGTGATGTGGTTCTTGAGAAGAAGAGTTTTGAAGATTTTTCTACATATTTCAATGGAAATTCAGGGATTCCCCATTATGACCCCGTCCTACCCCCATGGTTCACAGTTTGAATAATTAACAATCTACACTACTTCAGGATGTTTTCACCTAAGTTTCAGCTTTTCTGGCGCAGTGGTTCTTGAGAAGAAGATTTTAATGACCCACCCTATTTTTGTCTTCTTTTGACAAGATTTGAGTGTCCCTAGTTCTTATAGTATGCAAAATAACCAAGTTTTAACAAAAAACATAACTTTTGGTCAACATTAGAACGGCACCTTGTGACCATATCCTTTGTTCCCAGGGTGATTCCTTGAACAATGTTTAATCTACAACATATTCTCATCCTTGTACATATAAGTTTGCTGATAATCTATTAAGTAGTTCTTGGGGAGAAGTTTTTTTTTTAGCAACCACTACATTTTATAGGTCCCAAGAGCTAACGAATACACATACCCCGGTAATTATATATCTTTTATAACAAAATTTGGATATTATAATTTTGTAAAATAAAAACGTTTACTTTCTAACATTTTTTTCCCTTTAATAACATACTATATTTAAAACTATTATTCATTTGGTACAAAAAAACAGTTGTACTTATGAAAATTAAATCTATATTTATCTCCATCAGGAAGTAAATTACAAATCTCGTCTAAGTCTCGACCAAAATCTTCCTCCTACATTCCAAAGTTTGCTGAACAGAAATATACATGTAGAGGCCCATTGTGTCAAAAGTAAGTACCTGGGATGCCAGCAGACATGAAATTCCAATTTTTCTGAAAAAGGGCATTTTGCTTACTTAAGTTCTAATTGTCTAAGATAATCTCAGATTTGATACACCAGAATAGTTTACAAACTTTACACCTTTATGGGAGCATTCCTTTTACGTGGGACTGGTGTCAGACAACTGAAATACATTTATATCGTTTTCTGAAGTTGACTTAAGCAATTTAATTCAACATGTAAAACTGTTACAATTTTGAAATCCATATGCATGTAACAAACTTTTCAATGTTAATTTTAGATGGCACTTTACAAACCAAAAATTCCAGTCACTGCCCAACACTTCCTGGAGTGTGGTACTGAACGTTGTGAGAGAAATTGTGAATTTTACTGCAATTCCTGCCATCATCAGATGTGTAAACCATGCAGAGACCAACATCTAAAGATTGCAGAAAACAAGAACCATGAAGTGGTCCTTTATCAGCAACGTAGACGACAACTCCCTGTGAAGAAATGCAAGATCCACCCCACTAAAGATATAGATATTTTTTGCAAAGAATGCAATGTTCCTTTATGTTCCAAGTGTTCAACAATGCAAAATCATCGGGGGCATCAATTTATTGATTTAGAAATTATTTACACAGAGAAATTTGAAATTTGCCATAAGGAACTCTCTAAAATCCATAATTACTTTGTTCCTACATCAGAGGATTTACAAAGAGAAGTTCAGGAAGATGCCAAAGAAGTTAAAGAGATCATGGACAGCATACGGACATCCATGAAGGCTGAAGCCGAGTCTCTCAAAAACATGGTGGACACAGTTCTCTCCGAAAATATAGAGGAATTAAACCAAATAGAGAAGTCATTGCTAGAAAAATTAAAGATCCAAGAGAAGACATTTGATGATTATATTGGCTATCTCAGTGACCTTGTTAAAGAGTTCCAGAGTTACCTGTCCTCTACTGAGCTCACTAACTTCACAACTCAGCTTCCAGAAAAGTTAAAAATAAAATCCATACCAGAGACCACAAAACCTGTCATGCCGGAATTTTCTCCTGCTCAATACAGCAAAAATGATGTGAATAAATTACTGGGGAAGATAACTGTAACATATAGAAAGAAAAAACTTAGAAGAATAGAGCCCATGAATATTGCTTCCTTTTCTACATCAATGAAATCTACCAGTGAACATACAAAACAGGATAAAGATATGAAATCAGACAAGAATCAATCAATGTCAGACTCTCCATCTGCCTCTGTCACCAAGGTCAGGGAATTCAATGTACTAAGTATTAATAATGTGTGCCATGTATCACGAGGTCAATCAGACAGACTCTGGATCAGTGACAGTAAGGGTAATCTTGTCCAAATAGATCTACAGGGAAATGTAATACAGAAGTTAGAAACCAGTGGTAGATCTGAAGGTTACCACACAGTGACGCAGGGCAGAGATCTGATCTTTACAGACAAAAACAAGAAAGTCATCAATAGGATTACATCGGATAATAATATCATTGAATTCATCAAAACTGGAGGCTGGATACCATACAGCATACACTCCTCCCATATCAACGGGGACTTACTGGTGGGGATGGTGAAGAGTGGAGGGGGTAAAGTCACCCGGTACAACAAGACAGGAAAAGAACTACAGAACATACAGAGGGATGATAAAGGACAGGGACTGTATAGTTATCCACACTACATCACAGAAAACAGCAATGGAGATATCTGTACATCAGACTTTATAAATGTAGTGGTGGTGAATAAATCAGGACAACACAGGTTCTCCTACAAAGGTCAGGAGTCAGGGTTCTGTCCCTTTGGAATCTGTACTGATGTCCTTGGTCACATCCTGGTGTGTGATGTTCTCAGTAAAACTGTTCATATCCTTGATCAGGAGGGTCAGTTCTTGTCTCTATTGCTCACTCAAGAACAAGGGGTAGAGGATCCCTGTAGTGTGTGTGTGGATGATGAGGACAATCTCTATGTGGGAAAATATCTCACCAACACACTGACAGTGTACAGGAATCTTGAGTGATTATAATTCTATCAGTTGTATATAATTATCAAACTTAAAATTGTGATTTCCAGCACAAAATGTATATCCTGAATACCGTAGATCTAGAAATTTTTGCTGTAGATAATTTTAGCAGATTTGTTCATTGCATTCGCAAAAATACTTTTCTTCAAAATAAATCAACTATAATAAAATGTATAGAAAGCAGTGGCCTTTCGCAAAATTTTGAAAAGTAAAAATTAATCAACAGCTATTTGACCCAGGTTTGCAAAATAAAATTAACGTAAAAATTTCCAGATTTACGGTAGTGTTCCTTCTATTGAACATTATAATAAACAAATTGTACATACTGTAAATTAATTTAAATGGAAAACATTGCAAAAACACTTCTTTGGATTTGGAATTAAAAGATGTCATTTTATTCTTCTTTGTTTAAATGATATAACTAAATTTTCAGTAAATAAAAGTTATAGTGAAATGCGTATACTCAGTAATTAATTCGTGCTTGCAGTGAAGTGATTTTATTTTAATACTGATGTTTTTAAAACATAAATGTATTCTTATCTTAAAAAATACATTCAAGGAATAATTGTCTTATTAGCTCTTCTGAGCAAAAGGCTCAAAGAGCTAATGCCATGGCTATTTGTGCGGTGTGCATTGACTTTTTAGAATATGGGCCATAACTCAAGAACCCCTTGGCCAATCAGTGTCAAATTTGTCACAGGGTATCCTTTGTCTAAGGACTACCATTTACTAGTATACTAAAATAAGGATTGGGACCCTTAAACAAGGGGAGATAATCAGCAAAACAAAACCAAAAGTACTGGTTGCTAAAAAATCCTCTTCTTCACCAAACTTACATACAAGGATTAGGATATGTCGAAAATTAAAATTTGCACGGGGAATTATCCTGGGACAAGGGGTGTGGTCTCAAGGTCACTTCAAAGTTGACCTAAATTTACAATAAATACAAACGTTTATATTTTGCTTACTATAAGGACAAGGATCATCAAATCTTGTAAGTTGATGCATCTTAGGACTTCACACCATGTTAACTCAAAAGTAGGTTACGGTCACCTTCTTTTTAAATTTTGTGGGCATTTTCTTCAAATTGATTTGAAGGCATATTTTGGACACTTCAAGGCCTATGATCATAAAACTTTGTCAGTTGATGCATCTTGGGTCTTCAAACAACGTCAACTTAAAAGAAGGTCACTGTGACCTACATTTCAAACTTGATGACTAATCCTTTCTAAAACATTTAATCCCATTAGTTGAGACACTGTGAGGTATAGAATCATCAAATATTGTAAGTTGATGCATCTTGGGATCTTAAAACATAGTTATGAAAAAGAAGGTCACTGTGACCTACTTTTTGAATTCTGCAGCCGTTTGTTTTCAAATTGTTTAAAAGGCATATTTTGATTACCTTCAGACCTACGATCATCAAACTTGGTCAGTAGATGCATATGTGGACTTTGAAAAATGTTGACCAAAATGTAGGTCACGATGACCTATTTTCGATATTTTCTGGCTAGATTTAAGTATCTTAGGTATTTATTGGCTTAGAATCATCAAATTTTGTGAGTCGATGCATCTTGGGTTTTCGGAGAGTGACAACCAAAACGTAGGTCACAGTGACCTATTTTGACAATTTATGGATTTATTTAGGTATCTCCGGTGCTAATTGGCTTTGAATCATCAAACTTTGTCAGTTGATGCATCTTGGGTTTTCGGAAAGTGGTTATACATGTATTTAAGTATCTCTGGTACTTATTGACGTAAAATTATCAATTTATGTCAGTTGATGGATCTTGGGTTTTGGGAGATTGTCGACCAAAAAGTAGGTCACGGTGACCTACTTTTGAATATCTCAGGTACTTATTAGCTTAGAATCATCCAATTTTGTCAATTGAGGCATCTTGGGTTTTCAGAGAACATCGACCAAAAAGTAGGTCACGGTGACCTACTTTTGATATTTTATGGATATAAATAATTATATATCTGGTTTTGATTAGCTCGGAATCCTCAAATTTTATCAGTTGAGTCATCTTAGGGTATTGGAAAATTTCGACCATGGTCATGGTGACCTACTTTTGAATATCTCAGGTACTTATTGGCTTAGAATCTTCAAACTTTGTCAGTTTAGGCATCTTGGGTTTTTGGAGAATGTCGACCAAAAAGTAGGTCATCGTGACCTACTTTTGAAATTTGATGGCTATATTTAATTATGTCTGGTACTTATTGGCTCGGAAACATCATACTTTGTCAGTTGAGGAATCTAAGGGTATCGGAGAATGTCGACCAAGAAGTAGGTCACAGTGACCTACTTTTGAATATCTCAGATACTTATTGGTTTAGAATCATCAAACTTTGTCAATTAATGTATCTTGAGTCATCAGAATTTTTCAATCAAAAGGTGGGTCACTGTGACCTACTTATGGTATTTTATTATTATATTATAATGTTTTCAGTCTTAACTGGATAAATATCGTCTCGTATCCTATTTTCGACCGTATTGTATTTTCGACCTATTTTTCCCAATTTGCTTCCCGTGCAGATACCGCATGGTGGAACATTATTTTTCGGTTGTTAAACTTGGAAAATACTTTTGAAGCACAACTGTAGTGAAAATACCCAAAATATAATTCAACGGAATTCCCCCGATGGTTTTAGTCCGTTGTCAGAAATTCTAGTCTTTTTACTAATGTACATTTTATCTGTTGATTAAGCAAAGCCGTAATCGATTAATTACAAAGATTTTTTGATGACATTTTTTCCGAAAGAAAATTAAGATCTCTGTCAAAGAGACACATGAATATTGAAATGAATGGGTGGATCAAACGAATTTTTTTCTTCCCTAAATATGGGCACTTTCTTACAGATTTTCACTGAAAAATGCAACGTAATTTCATTGATTTTTTATGGAAATACACAGATACTGAAAGATGGCTTCAACCAACGAATAAATGTATTTGCAAACAAAATATGCAAGTTGTTTAATATTTCTTTGAAAGACAGACAATATTATTTTTTTTGTTTGGAATATCGAATGGATATTTATAGCCATTATTGATTGGGCGTTAATACTATATTTAGGTCGAAAACACAAGACGCTAATATTTTTGTAAGGAAAACTGCACCCTCTCCATATTATGGCATATAAATAAATTAAACACAAAACTGCAATATTGGTTATATCATTTTATTTATAGACACATTTTTAGCCCATATTTTCTTAAATTCTATAAAGTTTGCAGTAAATTAATAAATAATATCTAAATAGGTCGAAAATACAATACATAGAGAATAATACATACCCTTTTCCATATCACATCCTGTATCAGCCCGAGACACCAATATCAGCCAGAGGGCCGAAGGCCCGAGGGCTGATATTGGTCGAGGGCTGATACAGGATGTGATGTGGAAAAGGGTATGTTTTATTATATTTATTACATACTTAGTAATAAAATACAGTTGAGAAGAAAATAAGTAAATAATCATGCATGGACTTCTTCCATACATGTACATAGTCTAATGTCTCATAAGATTTGGGTTTGTTTCTATTTCTATTTCAATGCACTTGATCCGTAATTTGAAAATATTCTATAGTATTACATGTATTTGTAAATTAAGATTAACCTTATTTTCAAAAAGTTAAAATTAAGAGAATATGAACCCACCAAAATTGTGTATGAGTACAGGTACTGTTATTGTGGTTTAATTTACTAAGGGTGTGATATTGACGTCACAATAGCCGTATTAGCCCTGCAGGGCTGATATGGATTTGCGGGGCTGATACGGATATCAGCCCCGCAAATCCATATCAGCCCTGCAGGGTTGATATGGCTATTGTGACGTCAGCCATATCGCATATGCAAAAAACCTGTATTTATTACTAAGTGTGTAATAAACCAGGATATTATCTACCTTTGTCAGTTGATGCATTTTAGATCTTACGATACTAATAGAGTTGGAGGTTTCTAATAGAAGTGATAGATTGTATAATTTTTCAGAAGAGCGATTCAAGGCCCTTGGGCCCTTTGTTTTTTGATTTCACGATGTGATCAATCGATTTGTTTGAGTGATAATTTGCATAGACATTTGTCCCACCCCGCACATGATTTTTCTTAACCCCGTCTATCGATGAACTAGTGCATTTATGAAGAAATAAAGTACATTAAATATTTGTAATTTTATCTCGAACAAAGACATTGGTGATGTAAATATTTAAGGAGTGAATTTAAGACATTCTGATCCTCAGGTTCAGAAAATCAGACACTGACGAAAACCAAAAGAAAATATGCTCGTTTTCTGTCCACTGACCAAAAAATAGTGTAGGTGGGTATATAGGGAATTTTTTTTTCAAAACTCAATGAATGCAGAACATATAGAATGTAATAACAACAAGAGGCCCATGGGCCTTATAGGTCACCTGAGCATTATGCAACAACTTTCCAGTGATTGAATTTGATTCATGTTTTAAGCCAGATGCTATGGCATTCACAATTTTGAAAGAGGCACCATTGATCATCATAACAATACACTTAGCAGTTGCTTAGTTTGTTTACTTAATGCCCATACCCAGGGTAGGGGAGCAAAAAATGCATTTCAACTAATCAGTAATATTCAGCAATAATCAGTAGTGCCCCTACCACACATGAACCCCAGACCCTTAGGCCTTGATATTTGATTAATACCAAGGAGCAGATTTCAAACCCTTCATTCATTTTCAGTATATTAGTAGAGCCCCTCCCCCTCTTCTATGGTACCCCTGACCCTGGGGCCTTGAAATTCACAATTCTGGAAGATTAGGGCCCTTGTCCATCATAACTATACAGGTAGTTCATCTGCTTAATACCCTGGAGCAAATAAGAAAATTTTCAAAGACTTAATGTATTTTCAATATATAATCAATAGAGCCCCGCCCTGACACCAGAACCCCTGACCCTGGGGATATAAAATACCGGTATACAATTTCGGAAGAGGCATTCCTGCTCATCATAACTATGTACTTAGTTAGTTTATTTAATTCCTAGGAGCAGAGAAGAAGATTTTCAAAGAATTCATGTATTTTCACTATATAATCTATATAGCCCCGCCCTAACACCAGAACCCCTGACCCTGGGGCCATAAAATTCACAATTTTGGTAGAGGCACTCTTGCTCATCATAACTATGCACTTAGTTAGTTTATTTAATACCCAGGAGCAGAGAAGAAGATTTTCAAAGAATTCATGTATTTTCACTATATAATCTATATAGCCCCGCCCTAACACCAGAACCCCTGACCCTGGGGCCATAAAATTCACAATTTTGGTAGAGGCACTCTTGCTCATCATAACTATGCACTTAGTTAGTTTATTTAATACCCAGGAGCAGAGAAGAAGATTTTCAAAGAATTCATGTATTTTCACTATATAATCAATAGAGCCCCGCCCTAACACCAGAACCCCTGACCCTGGGGCTATAAAATTCACAATTTTGATAGAGGCACTCCTGCTCATCATAACTATGTACTTAGTTAGTTTATTTAATTCCTAGGAGCAGAGAAGAAGATTTTAAAAGAATTCATGTAATTTGATCACTATATAATCAAAAGAGTCCCGCCCTAACACCAGAACCCCTGACCCTGGGGCCATAAAATTCGCAATTTTGGTAGAGGCACTCTTGATCATCATAACTATGTACTTAGTTTGTTTATTTAATACCCATGAGCAGAAAAGACGATTTTCAAAGAAATATTGCATTTTCACTATATAATCTATATAGCCCCGCCCTAACACCAGAACCCCTGACCCTTGGGCCATAAAATTCACAATTTTGGTAGAGGCACTCTTGATCATCATAACTATGCACTTAGTTAGTTTATTTAATACCCAGGAGCAGAGAAGAAGATTTTCAAAGAATTCATGTATTTTCACTATATAATCAATAGAGCCCCGCCCTAACACCAGAAACCCTGACCCTGGGGCCATAAAATTCACAATTTTGGTAGAGGCACTCTTGATCATCATAACTATGTACTTAGTTAGTTTATTTAATACCCAGGAGCAGAGAAGAAGATTTTCAAAGAAATAATGCATTTTCACTATATAATCTATATAGCTCCGCCCTAACACCAGAACCCCTGACCCTGGGGCCGTAAAATTCACAATTTTGGTAGAGGCACTCTTGCTCATCATAACTATGTACCTAGTTTGTTTATTTAATATCCAGGAGCAGAGAAGAAGATTTTCAAAGAAATAATGCATTTTCACTATATAATCTATATAGCTCCGCCCTAACACCAGAACCCCTGACCCTGGGGCCATAAAATTCACAATTTTGGTAGAGGCACTCTTGCTCATCATAACTATGTACCTAGTTTGTTTATTTAATATCCAGGAGCAGAGAAGAAGATTTTCAAAGAATTCATGTATTTTCACTATATAATCTATATAGCCCCGCCCTAACACCAGAACCCCTGACCCTGGGGCCATAAAATTCACAATTTTGGTAGAGGCGCTCTTGCTCATCATAACTATGTACTTTGTTTGTTTATTTAATACCCAGGAGCAGAGAAGAAGATTTTCAAAGAATTCATATATTTTCACTATATAATCTATATAGCCCCGCCCTAACACCATACCACATGACCCTGGGGCAAAAAAATTCACAATTTGTGTAGAGGCACTCTTGCTCATCACAGAGCAGAGAAGAAGATTTTCAAAGAAATAATGCATTTTCACTACCTAATTATTTAGCCCCGCCCTAGCACTAGAACCCCTGACCCCAGGGCCATGAATTTCACAATTTTGGTAGAGGACTCATTGCTTATTACAATCATGCAAACAGTTTGACTGCTTGATGTCCAGGAGTAAAGAAGAAGATTTTTTAAGATTGCATTAATTTTAGTGGTTTTGGCCCCACCCCTCAGGCCCCAGGGGGGCAGGGATCATGAAATTTACAATTTTTGTTCCCCTTCACCCATAGATGCTTTGTGCCAAATTTGGTTGAAATTGGTTCAGTGGTTGCAGAGAAGAAGCTGAAAATGTTCAAATGTTAACGCACAACGCACGACGCACGACGACGGACAAAAACGGATAGCAATAGGTCACCTGAGTTTACTCTGGTGACCTAATAAAACAGTATGTTGACAGTTTACAAAGCAAGATTGTTAATAAAGATTTATAAAGTAAAGGTATCCTGTAGACACTTGTGATGTATTATTTCTGTAAATATTGTTGGTCAACTTGAGTATTAGAAAAATAGCCTTCTAAACAAGAGGCCCATGGGCCACATCGCTCACCCGACTAACTTTGATGATGCAGTTCTTGACCAGATTTCGTCTCTTGTTCAGAGATGAGCAAAGATAGTCAAGGTGAGAGTTACTAGACTTCTGAAAATCAATACTCAAATTATGGGATCATGTATATTTTCACAGGCAAATTGTAAGTGTTGAATTGAAATTAAGGGAAAAATTCTCTTCATCTAATTATTTGAAAAACAAGTAACAAATGGAAGTTATACTTTCTCAGTCACCTGTGCTTTTCAACACCTGAGCTGCACAGAATTGTTAATTCTAATCTTTTCATGAATTTCATTAACACCTACACGTACATGTACATACTGTTGTAACCCATCTGTCTTTTTTTCAGCAAGGAGAAGAGTATTAAAGAGAGAGAGGATAAATGTTGTGGCTCAGTTGTGTGATCTCCCCTCTTCCACTCACGACCACAACTCCTTTATTGTTGATGTGGATCACTCCTCTGTAAATCTAAGTCATGGTGTAGATTTGCATGTACATGTATCTCACTCCTTTAATATTCACCCTGTTTTAAATCAGGGTAGGGCTAACGGGGCGAAAATTTCCCTGTATACTATTCTGATCTTTTTGTAAATTTCATTCAGAACCTACATGTACATACTGGAATAATAACCTCTTTTTTCAGGGAGGAGAAGAATATTAAAGAGAGGGAAGATAAATGTTGTGGCTCAGCTGTGTGATCTCCCCTCTACGACTCACGACTACAACTCCTTCACTGTAGATGTGGATCACTCCTCTGTAAGTCAAAGTTTTGGTGTACAGTAGATACAACTCCCTTCTGGTTTATGTTTACAATGTATATGCATGTTATTTGTTAAGGTTATCAAGTAAAATTTTAAACACATTGAAAGTATTAAAGTGTTAAATCAGAAACTATATTCAGGGTTCATTTCAGATTAAATGCACTTTATATTTGTCTTAACACATCTTCCTCTGTTTTTGTAAGCTAAGTGTTGCAGGAAACTATGTTCAGTGTACATGTACAATGAATGTGGAATGTGGAATGAGAATGTGGAATGTTATCTTTACAGGCCTGTTATCTTTACAGGCAAACCTCAGAAGTTTTGTAGTTGAAGGAGTGTTCAAAGAGAGTAAGTTTTCTTATGTTTTAGATTATTTACTCTAAGATAAAAAAATGCAATTAAAAAGTATATGTATATGTATTAAATTGCAACAGATGATAAAATTAGATTTAAAAAAATTGATATTAAATTTTAGTTTTGTTTTCTTTTAGCTGAAAGCAAGTCAGATAGACCTCCCATCATAGCATTTAGTCGTTGCTTTATTACAGTTACACAGGGGGCAGGGTATGTATAATCACAAGGAAAATAGACGAGAATGAAGCATTTGTTGAAACCAAACATATAAGTACATATTCGTGGAAACAGTTAATTAGTTGCTGTAGAGTCAGTCACAAAACAGAGGTCACTTGCTCAATTTTTTTCATATATGCATGGTTTTGAATCCTAGAATGTTTTTTGTCATTGAATTGTGATTGTCTCGATCCATCTTTAAAAATTTACATTTTGAATATCCCATGTCCAATTTGGTGCTCCATCATGTTCATATGGAAGCACTCTAAAAGTAAAAGGAAATTAAAAAATATAGATATATTTCAAAACATTACAATTGAAGTTTAATCAGTAAGAATTTACAAAAGTATAAATCCAAGTTCCCTCAGTCTGACCCAGTTTAAACAAGATTAATTTGTTTATAGATTATTGCATCAGCATGTTTAATGGGCATTCCTTATGTGTTTCTTTGGAAAAAGAACATTTTTCTGTAACTGACATTAATAAGAATATGTACATATTTATACTTACCACTCAAAAAGAATAATAAGGTCCTTTTTGTGTATGGTAAATGTGCTGCATTTCTTCTGTCTATACTTCCCAAATGTTGTAAACATTAAAAACTGTCACATAATTATCATCCTCCAAGAAGTAAATAATTCTTTTTTCTGCTTTGACCATCAAAATACAGTTTTGTCAGCATCAAAAATCACTAAAAACTCCTTGAAGAATAACTTCAGCAATCTAAACTCACTACCATGCAGCTAGGTCAAAGTGCTCTTGTCCAATATTCAAACTTACTGGAAAAGGCGGTCACTACAGAGCATCGGAGGAAACCTGATATCCAGTGCCCCATTATAAAAACCTGGCACATGGCATCAATGAACCACCAACAAATCTATCTAAATCTAACCATTTTTTCAATTCTTCATTTCTCAGAAAATAAATGGGAGAAAAATGGTCCACTCAGGCAAGTTGGATCACCAAACTGACATTTCTTTTCCATTTACTCAAATAAATGGAAAGAAAATGCTGCATGTTTACCATCCCGTACGAAAGTTCGAGGTGGAATAGGCACGGCTTGGGCACGGCTAAGACACGGAATCCGCAAGGGTTTTTAAAAAGCCTCACGGGTTCTGCATGTCCAAGACACGGACACGGCTTCCATGTCTGAAAGTGAGGAATCAACCCGTGTGGAGGCGGTTTTTAACTCAGGCGGGTTTTGCTTCAAACTATTTATTTATATCTCACGGCTTTTTACTGAGCATGCTCAATCTTCTACTCTAAATCCATTCATTACTTTCAAATGAAAGTACAATAAACAACAAACACACCATTTGGACATAGCAACGACACGCAGTAGCTTTATTTGCGCAGTGTACATAACATATGCAAAATATGAAAATCAATTTGTATATACAAGTTTATGTTGGATTGAATAAATCATGATAAAATTTAAACTTTATCGTGCTCTACGTGTCGTCCTAAACTGGTATTTAAACCACTATTCACCTCTTACATAGTCTTGCTAACGAGACCGGTTCTAAAGAACCACGTGATATACACCAGGTATTCGAATGAAAACCTTGTAATTCCGAAAAAGTAATTCATTATCACACCAAGTAGAAATTGATTTCTGTCTAATTCGTTAATCAAACGAAAGAAATCATATTTCTACTCTAAATCCATTCATTACTTTCAAATGAAAGTACAATAAACAACAAACACACCATTTGGACATAGCAACGACACGCAGTAGCTCTAAATACAAAGAACGGGAAAATGAAAGTATAAAATCATTGATTTTAAATTCAATCCAACAAAATTCATTTAAATCATAAGTCATTCAATATTTCAAACAATAAATACATAAAATTTTACAGAAATTTTCCAATAAAATGATTTGAAAACAATTAAATAATCACCAAAAAAAATACATATACATGTATATCCATCCTAAACAAATTCAATACACCGCCGTCTTTTGAAAATCCATAACGCAATTCACCATGTGAGTCTGATTTTAAAAGTCTTGATGTTATGCACACATCCTATCCATACATCGATAAATGCTTGCTGCACTTGAGTTTTGAGTATAGTTTCAAATCAAATTCAACGCATACCATACGATTTATCGTGAAGTCCCAGGGAAGAAGACTTCAAATATATCAAATGAATTCGACACAGTTATACATAGAAGTATATTCAGCATCCAATATCAAAATAGCACAAAATACACATTCCTGTGAAATATCTTGAATCCCATCTCAATTCCTTGGATATGTGCGTCTTTGAAACTCTGTCATTATTGATACACCGATTAATACCTCATGGTGCTTGAATTAAACGTAAGAAGAATATAACCAATAATACCTGGAAGAACAAATTTGATGTTAGAAAACTGATAGATACATATATCTTGTAACTCTGATATTTTTGTAAATATTTATAGGATCTCTTTTTCTTGTGAAGCGATTCAGATTCCGTTTTTTCTATTGCGACTTTGAATAAAAAAATGGGAGAAAAATCGTGTTTTTTTTCAGAAGCAGACAGAGATGCTGTCACTGAATTGCAAAAAAACTTGTTTGTCTGTGTAAACCATAGTAAGAAGGACCCCCCCCCCAATAACCATTCTTTTTACATCGCAGGTTCATATCTACATGTATTATGAATATATTTATACAAGTGCCAAGTCCAAGAAAAGACATTTGCACGCAAATCTAATATATGTCACCTATGAACTATTATATACGCGGTCTTTATGAATGCCTAAATACACTGTACATCGATAATCAACACTCAAACCACGGTCCAGAGTCCGCCTGTAGCCTCCAGATTGATTGAGGATTTTGGCCGTGATTAGAAAAACACCAACTTTGCACTAGAAAATGCAAAGTGTTTGTCATCTAAACATTTTGTTCCCAGTGCATGTATTTTACCCTAGGTCCCTGAAAAAAAAAGTTTGATGATTTTGCTTTGCATAAGCCTACACTGATATCACCACCTAAAAATATTGAAGATCTATAACAATGAAACGAAATCCAAAAAATGAAAAACTCAGATTTTAATCCAAATTGCGCTGTCGCCCCATGCGGGCTCATCAGTAGATTAAGCAATTAAACAGATACATATACCTGCAAAGATAACATGATCAAGATTGTGACTCAAACTGGACGCAAAGTGATGCACTCAGTTTTTCTTAAGAAGGCTGACACACGAGAATACTCATTTTAGGGTTTCTTTAGTAAGGACATCTTCAAAGGCTGCTCCATTTGCCACCTCTATTTTTGTTTACATTCCATGCCTAAGTTTCGTTTCCTTTTTTACTCATCGGTAACCCCCCCCCCCACACAGACACATATTGCTAAAAAGAGATAAAGGAATACTCTTGGTAATGGATTTAAAGGGGGTCAAACAGTTACTTGCCCTGGTTGGAATATTTATTGTAAATGCTACATGGCACAGCTAGTTGGTGTTCATTTTGCATTGATATTTGATTTGGGAAGGGGATCATAGGTGATGATAAACCATGTAATGGAAGACATGTGTAGTACTTGGTAAAACCTTTGTAGGGAAAAGTAGAATGGAGTAAATTTAAATTTAAATTCATGCTTGCATAAAAATGAGACCAGTAAAAAGTTCCAATGTCATGTAAACGCGTATTAAAACTGTAAGTCTTTTTATTTTAATCCCGATATAAAAATTTTACATTTTGCTTTATGCATACGCTACCGATTTCAATTGCATACTCCCAGGTACATGTAACTATATTGATCAATCAGATTAAAATCAGCTGCAAGTTTTGTTTGGCTACGTTTAATACTAGCTCAGGTACTACGTTGTTCGTCGTAAACGTAGACAAACAGCTGGGGGTATGTGTACAGATAAAACAAAAAAAAATTACAGTAGTAAAGTAAAGTGAAAACTGAAAAAAATATCCATATCCATGAGAAATGAAGATTTGAAATCTATTTTTAAATCCGGTGATGTTTAAACTTGATTACAGTGGATATATATCTTATAACCCCATCGCACCCCCTTTAACCTTATACAAAGAGTTGAAATTAAGATTAATTAAAAATTTGACACTGGTATTAATATTATAATTTATTCACTTTTAATTCATGTTGGAATTTTAAAAAAGTAATGGCATAATGTCATTTTTATTGAATAGAAGTTAGTTCTTTCTCATACTCTCCCCATGGTCGTCATATAAAACTTTATGATATATACTGATGATATTGTATGTTCGAGTACATAACAGGGTATTGTGAATTCTTATCTGCAGATCGCTGAAACTAGGCAGGTAATTTTATTCTTTGATAACACTCTACTGAAATTAATTAAATATATAATATCCATGATTTTTTAGAAAGCCCCCTTCTCAAAATTGCTATTTTTGTAACCATGGCAACATACATTGTTCCTTGAAAATAAAAATACTACAATATAAAAAAATGTGCATCTTTGTATGCTCCACATGTGTATCAAATTTTATTGAATTCAGTAAAAAACTGTAGGAGGGAGAGCGATTCAAAAATTGCTTACGACAATCAGACAGTTGTAAAGCCGAAGTCGAACGGATGAGGTACTGACATTGTATAAATGTATAAACTCTTTCTATTAAATAAAATTGACCAGTAAAACTAAAAACTAATTGAATGCATGCTTTGTTTTAATAGTAACACCAAATCCTCTGGTTTAGAAACATTATTTGTAAAATTGTTTGTATTTCAGGGACGAATAAAAATAGAAAAGCACATATTTTGGCAATTATGGGTCTCAATCGTTGCCATGGCAACCGTGACGTCAAATCAGTCTGCATAATTAAATACTTTAGGATCTTACCTTTCAGAAAATATATAGGTTGCTCTATGTTAAAGTGACTAGAAAATGTCTAAAATTCTATTTGAACGTTTTTAGGCAATTATGCAGAAAAATTGCAAAATCTCTGGCCGTTAAAGGGTTAATCTATTAAAAAAATCAAAATCATCATCATTGTGGCTAGCAAAACATGCATACTATCATTAAATGATAAAATGAATCAAAATTCCAACATTAAGTTCAAAATTTATGAATTGCACTAATCATTTTTTTTTAAATTAAGAAAAATATGAATGTGTTTATATAAACATCCATTTGATAATCAAGTTATGATAACCTTATTTTCATCAGAATAATCAACATTTACTTTACTATTTGTAGAAATACTTCCTACTGAAAACAATCTCACCAAATGGCATCAAAACAAATGTGGTTGGATAAACATCCATAAAATCATTTTATGATTTAATTTATCAGAAGTTCAAATTCCAATCAAATTTTACTTAATTTTCATCAGAATTATCAACCTTTACTTTACTACTTATGTAGAAATACTTTCTACACAAACAAATCTCGCCAAATGGCATCACCACAAATGTGGTTGGATACAAATCCATACATTCATTTATGATATAATTTATCAAAAAGTTCAAATTTCAATCAAATTTTACTTTATTTTCATCAGATTAATCAACTTTTACTGTACTTTATATGTAGAAATACTTTCTACTTTAACCAACTCGCCAAATGGCTTCACCACAAAACGATTCAAAAAACATCCATAAATTCATACTATGTGATAAATTTATCAAAATACTTCAAGTTCCAATCAAATTTTCCTTTGATTTCATGAAAATTATAAACTTTTACTTTAATATATACCAAGAAACACGTGCACTTTCTACAGAAACCAATCTTACTAAATGGCTTCATCACAAATGTAGTTGGACAAACATCCATAAATTCAAACTCGTATGATATAGAACCCACTTTCTACTTTATCCAACTCGTCAAATGGCAACACCACAAATGTAGTTGGATAAACATCTATATCATTTTATGATAAAATGTGCAAAACATTCGAATCCAATCAATTTCTATTTCATATTATCAGCAAAATAATGAAAAGAATCTTTAATAAATTGCCAAATGACAATACCATATAAGTGGTTGGAAAACATTCATAAAAGCATGATATGCTAAATTGTGCCAAAGTTATTCAAATTCAAACCCAACTCAATATTATTTCAAACAGAAATATTAATTTTCATTTGACTATTTCTGTACTTCTCATTGTCTACTAAAATCAATCCCGCCAAAAACCAAACATCACAGATGCGTTATGATAAACATCCATAAAATATTTTATGTTAAGCTGGGTTTGAGTTGGAATTCCGCTCAAATTCTATTTTTGTTTTAAATTCAAAAATAACAGCTTTTAAATAGCTACAGTATTATAAAAATCACTTTCCACTGAAAACTAATTTCAATAAAAGTAAATACTCCAAAAATCGTTGCCAATTAATAAACATTCATTAAATCATTTCATTATAAAATGAAATATATCAACGTTATCAAAATTCAAATCTTCCAAACACTACCAAACACGAAAATTGTGCAAAACAGCTCATGAAATTAATATTCAGAAAAAGTTGAATTCAATTTTGGTGAATCATTTTTAAAATTAGAATTCATTGACAAAATTTCCTTTTTACTCGAAAATCAAAACCGACAAAAATTCAGTTTCTGTTATCAAAACTTTTTAGTATTGAAACCAAATACTTAAATCTCTTTTTCTAGATAACTCAATCAAGCCAATTAACAACACCGCAAATATTACAGAATTATCATTCATTTAAATATTTTATACCATCTTGATCTTATTCACTTTTGTTTTTTTTTTTTAAATTAATACTCAATTGATAAATTTCAATACTAAGTAGATAATTCAAATGAGACCTTAGTTTAACTACAATGAAAATCAAAATGTAAATATTCTAAACCTTTAATTCTCTTACGCAAAGCCGTACCTGTCCTGCATTAATAACAAGACAAGTAGAACTCGTTTTCTTCTATAAAGTTTATATGTCATTAATACATATACTTGGTTAAAAGATACCAAACAAAAAATATCTATGCCCCATACTCTACTATATAGATTCATGATTGAATAATCTACTAAAATAAATCGAAAAACGAATTATTATACTCAAAGTTCAGAATATGAAATGCTTCTCTTTTCCATTGTGATGGAGTCTGCATTGAATTTAACTTTCAATTGGCATAAAACGCAAAGAAAAAATCTACCATACTTCTCTGGAGATCTTTAAATCACATTCTTCATTATACTCATCGTGATACCAACCCAACATGTAACTACCTGAAACATAAGAATATACTGTTTTCTCTTCAATATATCTAAACTTTTTATTTTTAATTAGTAGCACATTTGACAAAATGGCAAGAAACTGAAATTGAAAAATAAATTCAAACAATATTAATTTATCGATATTTTCTATACTCAGGAAATGTCCATGTTATAATGCTGATGCATTTAGGACGTTTTAAAATGATAAGCAAATATATCTAATTGAATATAAATGCAAATATAATATCTTATAAATTCTATACTTGTATTAATTGAAAAATAAAAGAAAATTATCGTAAAGTATTTGTTTTCCTTTTCAGAAACACCAGTTTTCTTCCTTTAACAAATCCATCTTTCTACAAAACAAATTATCTATTTCTGGAAATAACTTCTATTATCATATACTGACGAGAATTAACGAATCTCATAATTTAATACAATCATGTATTTGTTTTCAAATTCTCTCTATTACAAACCTTGTTATCGCTAATTTACTACTTATTCAAAAACTGATCAATTGTATTCTCAAATGAATACTTATCTTATAAAAACAAGATCTAAGATGGCTTTTCTTTGATGACCTCGTTTTCCACACTGTCAAATCTCTCTCCAACTCTATTTTCTGTGATTTGAAACTGATTTCATATCATCTACAATGGCTAAACATGTCGATGAACCACGCCCTACGCCACTTCGTTCTGCATCTGAGATTTAAACTTTATCGTGCTCTACGTGTCGTCCTTAACTGGTATTTAAACCACTATTCACCTCTTATATAGCCTTGCTAACGAGACCGGTTCTAAAGAACCACGTGATATACACCAGGTATTCGAATGAAAACCTTGTAATTCCGAAAAAGTAATTCATTATCACTCCAAGTAGAAATTAATTTCTGTCTAATTCGTTCCTCAAACGAAAGAAATCATATATAACTTCCTTTATTTGAATATTAAGTTGGAGGGATTCATGGTCATGAGCTAAGAAGGTGTCTTTTTGCTCTAGTTAATGGATAATAAACTAATAGATGTCAGTTGGAATTGTATTTATGTCAGTCTGGGATACTTTCTTCACTTTTGAACTAAATGCAGTAAGTGTAATCTAGAATAAATAAGTCAATTTTTCAGTTTTCACGATCTTCCTGTATTGCGATGTTGAGAATGAACATGATGAAATAGTTTAGGTTTATTTGAATGACTTTAGTTGGACTTTCATTAATCCTCAGAGTCTATAGTATATATTTTATGTGTAATCACTGTGATACCTAGTGAAAGTCTTATTTAAACTTCATGAATTACTAGATCAAATTACATATTGTACATTATCATTAAAATCTTAATTAAAAACTAGCATGGATTGTAACTGATAAAGTTAATCTTTAATAGAAAGTAAATGGACACATTCATATAAGATTTTTAAATTTTAAAATTCTAAAACTAAGCATTAAGGTAAAGCAATGTGAAGTTTAAGTTTGGTTTCAGTCACCATTTTTGCATCCACAGTTACATCAAGTGGTTCTCTAAAGGCCATGACCTAGATCTAAACAAATGCACAGATCCCGTGACTCCTTATATGGTATACGGCACGGCTTTTTTGACACGGGTTTCCAAAAAACCGTGTCTCCATATATGGAAAAGGACACGGGTTTCAGACACGGGTTTACAGAATCCATGAGTCCATGTATGGAAACTAGCACGGCTAATTCTGACACGGGTTTTGTAAAACCGTGTGATCTCATTTAAATATTTCGGCCAATATCCCGTGCCGTGTCCGTGCCTCGACCACTTTTAGGCACGGCTTTCCATACATACTTTACATAGGAGCACGGAATGCTAAAGCACGGGTTTCTGGAGACGGAATCCGTGCCTGAGCCGTGTCTAATCCGCCCGAACTGTTTCGTACTGGATTTAAAAAGCATTTTCTAACAGAAATGGTTTTTAAATGGTTCTGAAAAAATGGTTTTGGAAAGTTGAAAGATAGAGAAATGTAGGAAAATGGTTTTGAAATGAAAAATGGCAAAAAAAAAAAAAAAAGCTGAATAAATGGAGATAAAATGGAAAAATGCCATTCCTTTTTGCTATGGGTTACTGGAATTTTACATATTTCAGTTAATAGATTTCATATTTCAGCAGTCAATTCAAAGCACTTCTACAGCTGTATATACATTGAAGTTTGTTTTAAAAATTCAATTTAAGAGTTTTCATTCACAAACATCCAAAAGATTTGAAATCAATCAGGTGGAAAGGTCTTTTGACTTTTGATATATGAACATATTTTGGGGTGTTATACATTTTTTAACTTCTTTTATGTTAACTGTTGTAACAGAATATTTTTTATCTCAGAATGAATATCATCAACGACATGCTGACAATAACAAATGCCTCCAGAGATCAAAATCAGGTATTGATAATATCACCTTTAGGATACATGTAATTTATATTTGTTCATCAGAATTTATAAATGATCATACATGTACATTAAAACATGAAACACATGCAAGTGTACATGTATAAGATGTACAAATTAACAATGTAAAACAACACCGCGAATAAAGAGTGCAAGATTTTACAATTTGTTTAATAAATTCAGCATTTTAACTTCTATTCTATGTGTGTTTGTAGAAGGCCTTTAAGCACCCTGCCCCTACTCCCTCTTCTAGCCCTGTCCCTGAGGCATCACCACCAGCCCCGTTCACTCAGGCTGGTCCCTTCACATACACAGCCGAGCAGCAGCAGATGATTCAACAGTTCGCTGCTCAGTCAGGCATGAACCACGAATGGTCCATCAAGTAAGTTTTTACTTAATATTCAATAAAGTAAGTTTGTAAGGAACCTCCAGGAAAGGGCGAAAAAATACTTCCTATTTTCATTTTTTTTTTGTCCACAGAAAATTTTATTAACTCAGACAGTTGGGATTTTGTCTATTGAGAATCAACCTTATTATTCAGTTGTTAGGACTGTGTCCTATAACTTCTGATATTTGCAACACTAGTTTATTACAATTTACAAAACCAATTTTTTTGCATTTTTTTTTGCAGATGCCTGGAACAAAATGGTTGGAATTATGAGAAATCAGGGGAAATATTCCTGGAATTGCAGGTACAATTACAACACAATATTTGTGCCTAAACACATCAAATAAGTTTGTAATAAAAGAGACACCCCCCCCCCAAAAAAAATTACCTTAGAAGCCTCATTAAGTGCTCTTAATTACATAAATTAGCACACATATGTTAGTGCACTTGATTTATGCAAACCACTATATATTAGTTTGAGTCATGTATTACATGTACCATGTGAGAGATTAAGTGGAAATTTACCAGTAAAAAAGGCATTAAATAAGATTACTGCTAAAATAAGTGTGTTTATAGCGTAACTGGATATACATTGTATTTGTGGACTTTTGGATTATAAGAGTGTTTTATTTCTCCATTTCAGAAACAAAACAAGATTTCTCCAGATGCATTTGCAAAATGAAAATCTGACTTTCCTGCAAATGGACCTAATAACACTGAATTCTCAAAATCATTTGGAATAGGCTCAGGATAAGCCTTTCTTTAAGTGCATCCATCCAATGGTGACTCCTCCAAGTGTTTACAGTGAATTGAATTGACCTCTCAGAACTGTGTGGAAGCCTGGTGGATTTTAATGATTTTATTCTGTTTAGAAGAAACACTTTCGGGCATTGACAAGTGAACTGATTATAAATCCTTGCTTTGTTTTAATGTGCGAGTTCAAAGAGAATTTGAGAAGGATTAAAAAATCCTCTTTTACATAATTTTACAGTGAAATGACATTGTTTAATTTGCACTTGTTAATCATAGAAGTAAAATATTGTGAAATGAAAAGTGCTCATCCATATTTGATATGTCACCAATTTTATTTCTATTGCAATTTGACATTCTGTACAATGAATACCTTTTATAAATATGTATTTTTTAATTTTTTATTGAAAATTTCATCATTGTTAATAAAAATGAAAGAATTGTCATCTTCTCTTTTCATGAAGCAAAGGCTTGGTGTCTTGAGAAAACTGCTTTTGTGACAATTGAGTTTTACTTCAAATTATTATACCTGTCAATTATAAAAAAAATCCTACAAATTATAACCAGGCATATAATGAAAGCACACTTCTGCAAAGTGGAAATATATGAAAATCCAATGAATTGTCATAATCAAAAGCCAGGAATATTGATTAATATACAGAATATTTAACATTACTGGTTAATTGGTAGAGTAGAAATTTGTTCTGAGAAATGGATGTAATTGAGGATATCAGAACATAAAACTTTTAAACGTATATAAAAGCACACAAAATATGAAATATTTATCCACCATGGATAAGTGACTGTTTTGACCAAAAAGGCGAAAACATACCAGTTTAGCACAAAATCAGGCGATGGTAAGAGATACAATGAAAGCTCTTCCTGTCTTAAAGATACTAGTAACATTTTATTACCTGTTACTGTAGATTCCTTATAGTTCGCATGTACTAATTATTGTGAACTGGCTCTTAAACGTCAAATCGCTAGAATGATATTTTGCGAATGGACGCTTGATCGATAGAATTTTCATGGATTTCAACACCATAATAATAAAAGTTGAGTTATACTATTTCGCAAGTGATTTTTTTTGCAAATTTACGTGGAAATTAATTCCTTGCATATAATTAGGAATCTTCAGTATTTGAATCCAGTGAGCTCTTGATTAATATACAGTCTCTGGGCGAAATTGAAAAAGAGACGTACTAAACACTGGGCTCACAATACCCACTCTTAGATGTGTATAATTGTCAAAGTCCCTTTTTTGCTTTGGGAAACCTAATACTAGTAAATGTCACAACAGAACATAAGACAGGAAAAGCAAAATGATACTCTGTATGTAATAAAGATTCTGTGATATTCTCATTTAATTTCATTCATTATTATAGGAATTTTGTATGAGATAGGTACTTCCTAGTGTTCAAGACAGAAGGACAAACGAACAATAACTATATTACCCAACCCCCTTTTCTAGCCAGGGGATGGGGGTATAAAAGATACACATTGTCCTGCAAATATTTCCTAAAACATACTTTTTGCAGGTAGGTACATGTAATGGAGTTTCCATTATAATTTGTTACAGTTATTTTTTTCACATCATAACATATCCAATTCCACACTCTACACTAAAATTGGAGGCCTACAACTAAAACAAGAGGCCCATGGGCCACATCGCTCACCTGAGCACTAAGGGTAGGAAAAAGTAGGAAATGGCTTTTTATTGTAAAGTTTAAATCCAAAAGTAGTCCCATGAACAATCATGGATTTGCTATTTTTAAAAAAAAATGATTTTTAAAGAATTTTCCTATATATTTCTATGTAAAACTTTGGTCGGCCATTCCCTACCCCTGGGGGTCATGATTTGAACAAATTTGAATCTACACTACTTGAGCATGCTTCCATATAAATATGATGAATAATGGCTTTGTCATTCTTGAGAAGAAGATGTTTAAAGAATTTTCCTATATATTTCTATGTAAAACTTTGGTCGGTCATTTTGGCCCCGCCCTACCCCCGGGGGTCATGATTTGAACAAACTTGAATCTACACTACCTGAGCATGCTTCCATATAACTATGATGAATTATCGCTTTGTCATTCTTGAGAAGAAGATTTTTAAAGAATTTTCCTATATATTTCTATGTAAAACTTTGGTCGGCCATTTTGGCCCCGCCCTATCCTCGGGGGGTCATGATTTGAACAAACTTGAAACTACACTACCTGAACATGCTTCCATATAAATATGATGCATTATGACTTTGTCATTCTTGAGAAGAAGATTTTTAAAGAATTTTCCTATATATTTCTATGTAAAACTTTGGTCGGCCATTTTGGCCCTGCCCTAGTAACCCCCGGGGGGTCATGTTTTGAACAAACTTGAATCTACACTACCTGAACATGCTTCCATATAAATATGATGAATTATGACTTTGTCATTCTTGAGAAGAAGATTTTTAAAGAATTTTCCTATATATTTCTATGTAAAACTTAGGTCGGCCATTTTGGCCCCGCCCTACCCCCGTGGGTCATGATTTGAACAAATTTGAATCTACACCACCTGAGCATGCTTCCATATAAATATGATGAATAATGGCTTTGTCATTCTTGGGAAGAAGATTTTTAAAGAATTTTCCTATATATTTCTATGTAAAACTTTGGTCGGCCATTTTGGCCCCGCCCTACCCCCGGGGGTCATGATTTGAACAAACTTGAATCTACACTACCTGAACATGCTTCCATATAAATATGATGAATTATGGCTTTGTCATTCTTGAGAAGAAGATTTTTAAAGAATTTTCCTATATATTTCTATGTAAAACTTTGGTCGGCCATTTTGGCCCAGCCCTACCCCTGGGGGTCATGATTTGAACAAACTTGAATCTACACTATCTGAGCATGCTTCCATATAAATATGATGAATTATGGCTTTGTCATTCTTGAGAAGAAGATTTTTAAAGAATTTTCCTATATATTTCTATGTAAAACTTAGGTCGGCCATTTTGGCCCCGCCCTATCCCCGGGGGTCATGATTTGAACAAACTTGAATCTACACTACCTGAGCATGCTTCCATATAAATATGATGAATAATGGCTTTGTCATTCTTGGGAAGAAGATTTTTAAAGAATTTTCCTATATATATTTCTATGTTAAACTTTGGTCGGCCATTTTGGCCCCGCCCTACCCCCGGGGGTCATGATTTGAACAAACTTGAATCTACACTACCTGAGCATGCTTCCATATAAATATAATGAATTATTGCTTTGTCATTCTTGAGAAGAAGATTTTTATTTTAAAGAATTTTCCTATATATTTCTATGTAAAACTTTGGTCGGCCATTTTGGCCCCGCCCTAACCCCCCGGGTAATGATTTGAACAAACTTAAATCTACACTACCTGAGGATGTTTCCCCATAAGTTTCATCTTTCCTGGCACAGTGGTTCTTGAGAAGAAGATTTTTAAAATATGCCACCAAATTTTCATTAATTCCCAATTATCTCCCCTTGAATTAAGGCGTGGCCCTTCATTTGAACAAACTTGAATTCCCTTCACCCAAGGATACTTTGTGGCAAGTTTGGTTGAAATTGGCCCAGTGGTTCTTGAGAAGAAGTCGAAAATGTGAAAAGTTTACAGACAGACGGACAGACGGACGCCGGACAAAATGTGATCAGAAAAGCTCACTTGAGCTTTCAGCTCAGATGAGCTAAAAATACTCAATGGGAAATAAGTTTATACATATAAAAATTAAGCCTTAAATCTGTTTTCATGTTTTTATTGACAGTTGATGGATCTTACAAAGATAAAATGATGCAATGTATAACAGGTCGAGGAAACTACCTTATATGGGTATTGTTGTCATTGCGCACAAAGGTGCTCACAGCAAACAATGGACCAATCTATTGAATGAGCCGAAAAGCATGATGGTCTACTACATGTTTATTTTTATTACAAACACGTGGGTTAAGGGAAATTTAGAATGCGATTTCAAATGACTGCTGGAAAGTCAATTTACAATTTTTTGAAACGTGTTTGAGAAAAATATGAAGAATAGGAACTAATTGAGAATTCCCATGCTCACATTAACAAACAAAATCAGTTTTCCTTGTTAAATAGTACTTTGAAATACTGCTTACAAAGTCTCCACAAGTAAAAAATAAAGGACTCCAGTACTTAATAATCTTAAATTTGCCATGTAACTGGCTGAATTATTTGTTGAACAGTTATTTGTTAATAGAAATTTGAAGTTCATGCATTTACAAAAAGGACTTGAGTTGCATGTTTTTTTTATTTACCTCTAATTTATTTATCATATGTGCTAGGAACACGTGCTTTTGTTTATTATGTGCTAATAATAGCGACAGTAGCTATTGGTCAGTATTTAAAGGTCGATACCTGTAGAACGGGTGAACAGGTATTCACTTTAATCACGATTTTAACTCATTCGAAGGCTTTGCTTTGCGACATTCACACCCACCCACCCACCCTCTTACTTACTTCAACCTTTTACTAGTATTTTGTTTAATAAAGAAAGTAATTGTTTTCATTTCAAGAAAATTAAAAGTTTTGTACACAACAGATTAATTGTCAAAGATGGGAAACAATTTGCTTAGTCGCTCTAGATAATTTTATGTAAAATTTGATATAAATGTAAGATTGTTGTGTAAGGGTACATATTAACTACATATAGTCGAAATGTGTTTACAGATAGTTCTAACTTACATTCATTTTGCATAGGTTTTACTTAAAGTAGTCGATTAATTGTACATTATAATATATGATACGTACGTAAGTTTGTGAGAATGAGTCCACCATTTATTTTGTTTACCTCGCAATTGCTGCGGACTTACAGGTTTCCATAGTTTTTTCAACATAAATCGATGTTGTTTTTTATCTATGGTTTTTCCTGGGCGGCGAGGGAAGCATAATTGTGTTCATACATGCATTATATTACGTTTTTAATCAGCGAAGTGAGGATATATAAAAGCATTGTGTTAAAATGCATTTTGTACTGTTATGTGTGATTAATTATATTTTTGATATATTGTAGAAGGAAGGTAGAGAATCGGTACCATTGAAGACTTGTTTTTTGTAAATGTATACGTCTAATAAATATTGGCAAGCAAGCGCTTCCATTTCCTATGTAGACAAGTGTTCTTGTTTTGATTGTAAATAATTTATGTTTGTTTGAGGGAAACGAATTAGAACATAATATTAATTCTCATGTGCATTCATGATTGATCATCGAACGTGTATTGGGTAGCATAATGTACGTTTCGAAGATGTATACGTTGTAAGCATTGTCAATACGTGAGCACACCTCAGAGTTTTTTGTTTGTTTTTATTTTACCAGATGAATAGCCACGTGAAATTGACTTCTCACTGACAGTACAGCATAGGGAAAGCTGTAAACAAACGGAATTGTACAATAGAGTAGGGAATACCCTAATTTTATCATTGTTAATCATTTGTATGTAAATGTGAGCATGGGATTAGTAGATAATAATGTATGTATTATATTAAGCGTGTAAAATGCTTGAAAAAATGCACCACGTCTTTCCGAGAGCGATTTGAAAAAAATGGCTTTTCAAAACACACATGTAGTATTTTTGTAGTAACCCATAATGCAACTCATTGAGCTGATTGGTCGATTAGTCAGTCACGTTGGTTCCCCACTTAACATGTAAATTTATTCCCACGTCACAGAAAATAGTTTCCTCGACCTGTATAAGTGTTAATTAAAGTGTTATTTACTGTCTGAGCCAATAAAATCATGATGAAATGTAATGTTATGAGTTAGTGAGCCAATAAATCACAAACTGCTCAAGGGATGTTTACTGTCTGTAGTT